ATTCGTACGAATACGTTCATTTTTATCGAACGATTTTACTTTCGATGTCTACTAGAAAATTAATCTCTCTTCATAGTTAATTAATATTTCTCTCACAATGAATACGCTAGCATTAAATCTGACGAAAAAATAACTATATATTTCTTTTTGTATGTATTTAATTAAATTAACGTGTTTCTTGACAAGTAGTGACATCTATATCATATTTAAGGTTTTTTTAACTGATTCTTATTAACATATATAATTCTATTATATCTTTTTTCATATTTAGTGAATTATTTGCATTTCAATAACGATTAGAATCTTATTATTTGTTATTATATATATTTTAAATTATTAAAAAACTATTTCAATTTTAATATTTTTATATTTATAAATTTTAATTTTTTTCAATTTACACAACCATACTAACGTTTGAATTTTTTAAATTTTAAACAATTTTAAATAATAAGAAAATAGATATAAACATGTTATAATGAAGCAATATTTTTTATTACTCTTACTTAATAAGTTTTTTATATTAAATCTCTTGCAACATTCAGTTATAAATCTTTATAAATTGTAATTAACTTTCTAATATTATAATTATGATTAATATTATGATTTTCTAATATATTATAATATTATATTAAATTTGCTAATATTAAAATTTACTAATATTAGTAATTTTGAAAGAATTTAATCGAATTAAAATAATTTCAGAATAAATTTCATTAATCATTTCAAATTTCTATATGTTCAAATTTCTCAAACAATCTCATTTGAAAAAAACAATTAAATTTAAGTCGCTTAAGAAAATGAATTTTTACCATAGTGCTGGATTAGAAAGTCGTCTAGCTAGAAAATAACTCGGAAGATTGAGTCGGGCGTAACGTCAAATATACATTTTTAATTTTTTTATACTATTTTTTCAAACTAGTCATTGATCAAGAAAAATATTTCTGATATACCGATATAAGACGATACGTAACACGACTAATGATAAAAACAATAAATATTGCATTTATAATCGGTTCATTTTATAACCAAGAGTTTTTTGATTTTATTCGATACATTTTTCATAGTAATGTCGTTATAGTGTGTCGTTAAAATTTTCTATTTTCAAAATTTTCAAAATTTTCCGTAATAAATAAAATAATTGAGCCTGTCGACGAATAAGTGAAATGAAAATATTATTTATGGTAATTATTGTTTTCTCCGCCAGGTGCGCGGAACTCAAGTTAACAAGAACGTAAAAAGAAATCGTTATAACTCATTCGTTAGATACGTTAGAAATGTTCGTATTTCGTGAGTTATTTTTCGAGTTTTCTTTATCATTACCCATAATCATTCAAGCATTGAACGACTTCAATCGTTTAATCTTGAAAATAGATAAAAAATTAATATTGCATTTTGCTTGCAGGGAGGACAAGGTGGATTTGAAGATGTTCGAAGGTATGTAAAACAAGGCGGCGATTTTTGCAAGGAATTGGCATCGATTCTAAATGAAAGGTGAATTATTTCGATAATCATTGATACAACATATCGATGATTTAATGCACAAATATGTATGTCCATTTTTTATAAAATTTCAATTTTTAATAAATATATGTATAGTAAATAATATTTTTTATTATTTCTTTATATTGCGTAATTATACTTATATCTATTTTACATTTGTTAAAAATATATTTTTTATTATATGTCCTTGTACATATCCTTATATATTATTGATCTTTTAAATTTTTTTCAAAAAATTATAGGCATACGTTTTTGTATTAAATGATCAATATCGTAACAATATTATAATTAATTATTATTATTTAATAATTTTTTTTTAATTTTTATATATATGTATATGTATATATATATACATATATCTTCTTTGCTTTATCTTACAATATATATTCGTAATTTAGTATGAATTAGCATAGATTTTTTTTATTTCAGAGCGGAATTAGAAGCAAATTATGCCAAAGGACTTAATAAATTGGGAAATAAATTGATTAAAGCATGTGCAAAGGATCAAGGTATTATTTCACAAGTTACAAACTCTATCGATTGATTTAATGTAATAATGCAAAATAGGAGATATCGATTTAGTGAGATAATCTTAAAATATAACTAATAGTTTTCGTAACGCAGGTGGTAATGGTAGCGGAGGTGTGAACGAGGCATGGAGATGTGTTGGCGAGGAAATGGAGGCTACCGCTGAAGCTCATAGGCTCTGGGGAATTACGCTTAGCGAACAACTCGCCAAACCACTTAGAGTAAGTTTCTTTTGAAAATTTTCCTTTGTTCATATCTAGTTTATAATATTTTTTATATTATTACTTTAAATACTTTAAATAATATTACTTTAAATATTATTACATACTATCATTCGTAATAACGAATAAAATATGAATGATTATCTAACAAACTAATTTTAAAGAGATCTTAAAAAGTGTTTATATATTCACAGGTAGGAGTAGCAGAGGCTCAAGCGCGTTCGAGAAAATCTATCGAGAATTCCGTGGATAAAGCTGGAAAATCTCTTCATGAGTGGCGCAACATTGCAATTAAAAGTAAAAAACAAAGTTTCGCTTGTGCGCGAGAAAATGAGAGGTTACAAGATTTAGCGAGGCTGCAAACGATCAGTCAGAGCCAACAGACCAATAACAAATCTTCAACTCATATGACGGAGAAGGAAGCTAATAAACTCGAAGCGAGGAGGAGAAAGGCCGAGGATTCATCCCGCAGGGCGGACACGGAGTTTTATACAGTGAGTGTGAGAGCTGAAAGAGCTAGGCTTGAATATGAAAGCACCATGAGGAAAGGTGCTAAGCAAATGGAACTTCTTGAAGAAGAACGATTAAGCGCTCTAAAAGATCTCGCGAATGTTTATCTAGCTCACCTGCAAGCTTTAGCTCCCCGTTTGCAACAGGTACATACAATTCATACAATTAATTTTTCTTTGAAGTAAAATTAATATTTCGTTTTTTTTTCAAAATCTTCTTTATAGATTGCAGACCGTTTGGCAGCTCCTATACGTAATTGCAATGTATCTCAAGATATTGAGATTTTAAAGAATCTTATACGTAGGGTGGAGAGTAGTGATGGGTGTAATTCCGAACAACTGTTACCAGATTTCTATGCTGAACATGTTACTCTAGCAATGAATAGAGAACGTCGAAAACAAGCGTTGGTAAGAGTTCTTCATTTGATCAGACAAGACTTGGAGCGTGAAAAACGCGGAAGGGAAGGTCTAGAGACTCTTCATAGAGCTTTCATTGCGACACCAGCATTCGCGGCAGATGAAAGTACACAAAATGTAACGGAAAAACTACACCATGTAAGATTACTTTTTTATTTCTTTTTTTTAAATTTTCATATCATTTTCATTTTCAAAATCATATTTATTTATTTATTTATTTTTTTAGATGCGTTCTATGTTGGTATATCTAGAGGCAGCAAGGTACAAAGTTGGAGGAACATTAGCAGAAGTAGAAGGTAGCAAACGAATAAAACATCCATTGGCTGAACATATTTTAGTTTCAAGAGATAAACAAGGTTTACAGCAAAGTGTCCTTAAGGTAAACATCAGTTATAAAAATAAAAAAATAAATTTTTCAGTTTACATATTATATGAAAAATATATATATATATTTATATATTTTTTATATATTTATATATAAAATTATTAGAAAACAATAGAAAAAAGTAAATGTATATATATTTTTTTCAGATTCCTTCTTGGGCAAAGAACGAATCGTTCGAGATTCAGGATGATGAAGACGAAATGGATGTCCATCTCGTAAAGGATCACGATACTGAAAGTCGTCATTGGGCTGATCGAACTGCTGGGGATGGTAACTCGGAAAATCCACCGGATGAGGATGACTTTAGTGATTTTGATGAATTCAGCAGTCATTCTGAAGATAATAATAATCAAGATATCGATGCTGCCGAAACGAGTGGCAAATCGGATGGAACGGAACAATGTAGAGCTATTTATCAATATTCAGCAAATTTAAATGACGAGCTTAGTCTAAGTCCTGGAGATTTAATTACAGTCCATCAAAAGCAACCAGATGGTTGGTGGATAGGCGAATGCAGGGGACGAACTGGAATATTTCCAGCCACTTATGTTCAAGTTATTCATTAATTAATTCATCCGATATTAAAGATAAAAAATATATTCTTCTAATTATAGAAAGAGAAAAAAAGGAACAAAAACAGGTGAGTGTAATGATATATGAAAAATATTCACAAAATGCAATTAAAATATAAAAAATAAATGACAACGAAAGATATTAATCATACATCATTGATGAACTACCAAAGTATGCTACAAATTTAATGTGGCCTTTTTAAATATTAAATTTAAAACTGTACAAAGTAACATTTTTTACTTCAGTAAGAAATATGACGCACTAAAAAATTGCTATATTATTATATGTCGCGAGAATATTTTTTAAACGTATACACGTGTTAATATCATTTCCAAAAAGACATGTTATTACATGTTTTTTTACGTTCATTAAAGTGCCAATAATAACACATAAAGACTACGCGGAATGCACAAAATCAATTTTCGAAGAAGTTCATATTATCGCCACAATATTATAAATCGTAATAAAAAAAAATGTTTATATACAACGAAATATTTCTTTCTATTTGTATAACTTATGTAGTATAATTTATAAATTGTAATATAAAGTCATCATAGAATATAAAAGTATATAAGATCCCGTGCGCACAAGCAACTTTTTACTGTGCGATTGTACATCTATCTTTGTTATTTTCAATTGAAAAAACAAGGAAAGATATATAATCGTACGTTAAAAAGTCGCTTATGTCTTTGTACTGGGTCATAATTAATAAAAGAAGTGATTAGACTTTAAATAATCGAAGACTGCTTATTCATGCAGTATTCATGTACGCATATAATTAAATAGCGTGATATGTACATAACTTAATTTTCAAAACGATTGTAAATAGTACTTAGTTGCATTTAATAACTTAAATATTGTATGTAATTGAAAATTTGAAGTAAAGTTCTTTTATTTATCAATCAAAAATACATATTAATTTATTCATAAATTATTCGTCTGGGAATTATAAAATTCGTCTGGGAAATCTTTTTTCATTTGAATTACTAGTTCAGCAATTATGCGAGTGTCATTAACTGTAAAAATTAAAAAATTCATCATTATATATAGATATATAAATGAGTAAATATAATACAAATTTTATATTTTATAAATTTCTTACTACAAAAAGGTGAAGTATCGGAAGTTGCGACAAAAAATATTCCTCGATGAGAATATTTTATTGCATTTATACCCATTTCAGTACAAATATTTTTATCACAAGATTCTGTTACTATTTGCAACAAGTTTTGGTAAGATAAATTCCAATGGTGCGCCCAGAATGTACAATTTTGTTTCACCTCAGAAACTAAAGATTCCGTCAAATAAATATATGAACGTCCATGACTGCATATAGCATTATTAATTTCTAAAATCGCAATTGAAATTTAAAAAAAAAAAATTTATAATAATAAGATTAAGGAATATAATGAAACATTTTTAACAAATAATTACCTCCAAGTGGAATTGGTAAATATTCGAAATACGAAGAATTGATCTTTATGCAACCAGGCTGAGTTCTACCACCATTAGGATAGAAATCAATGTGACCTATATAATACAAATCATTTTAATCATTTATCTTCGTATTAACGTATAATGCGATATCTAAAAATATTTAACCTATTGGTTCTGGTAAACCTAATCCGATTTTAGAAAGTAATCTGCCATTAGTATGAATAATATCGACAAATGGCGCATCAGATTTATGAAGTTTCATACTGGAGTCTACATTTCTGAAACAAGGTTGTGCAGGATCTAATCCTGTTATTCTTAGTATTTTCCATTTGTTTTTCCTTTTTTTCAATTCTTTCGCAGCAAAACCACAAATATGTGCTCCGAGACTATGGCCTACTAAATGTAATTGCCCCCAATTATCGTTGAAATCATTTTGAGCACTTGTTGCATTTGTTATGTGTTCTAAAAATCTTAATAAAACAATAAACTTTATGACTTAATATGATTATATCATTATAATATCTTTAAAATATATTAAATATATAAGGAATATAGGCAAACCTTGCAATTTGATATCCTATTATTTTCGTGTTAACTGCAGCTTTATAATAATTCCAAGTATTACCTCCAGCACTCCAATCTACAACTATGATATTAACGTCATTCTAGAAAACGTCATGAAAAAATTAAAAAAAAAAATTACTATCTAAATTTACATATTAATAAAATAATAACATAAAATAATAACATTTCTAAAATTTTTAACATTTTGAAAAAAAATTTTTTATATAATATTTAAAAAAAAAAAGAATAAAAAAGGGATTTTACCCATAGAAGGAATGATTTTTCCATTTCATTAATCCATAATTCTTGACCATGAGATAAGAATCCATGAACTATAATGATTGTTAGTCGTTCGATTTGAAAGTCTGTCCATTCTAAACCAAATTGTTTACCAATCATAACTTGAACACGTTTTGGTTGTTTTCTTGAAGAAAGGAAAAATTGAACATCCAAAGCATTTGTTCCATTTGGTTTACTCAAAAAAAACCATTCCAAAATTCTAGCTAATCCTTTTCCTAAACCGAAACAATCGACTTGATTTGATTTGAAATTTATTCGATTGTTAATGTACTTTGACGAATTCGAGAGTGTAAAAATAAAATCTTTCAAATTGTTATTACGAAAATTATACAAATTTTTCTTAACATAATCCAAAATATTTAGTTTTGAACTTTCTGTCAAAATGTGATTACTTATGGTAAAAAATATGAATAATTTGATTAGTACTTTGGCAAACCACCACGTCATTTTTCTGACTAACAATAAATAAGAATTGTATTTAATATACGAAAGATTATATGTTGTTATATGTATACAACGGAAAAAATTGAAGTCATGACCTAATGATAAAATTTATATTACTAATTTCAAGTTGTTTATTTGTTCTTTTCCGCGTTTGATTTAAGTCAAAAATATTTGATTTATTAAATATAATTAAATATAATAAAACAATATGAATTTATTTATTACATCTCTGTATTTTTGATAATCTATTAGTTTTTTTTTATAATTATACATATAATATGAATTATAAAAATAAATTTTTATAAGATATTCTCTTTTAATAATAGAATTTTATATTTAGTACATTAAAATAATTAAAATCTTTAAAAAAATAATTGAAAAATATTTCTATAATATTGAAAATATAAATATATCGATATAAAAATATAATTTTTATAATTTTTATTTTATTAAAATTAAATTATTTTATTAAATTAAAAAATATTAAATATTATATATATGTTTATTGAAAAATAAAAAAAAAAAAAAGAAGATGATAGATAGATATATATAAAGGGGAGAGAGAGAGAGAGGGGGGGGGGGAAGAAAGTAGTATTTAATTTATATTTTTTTATAATATTAATAATATTATAATATAAAGTTATTTAAAAGTTATCTACAAGCATTTATTGCATTTAATTTATAGACAATATAAAAAAAATGATATAATTGCATGTAATATGTACATGATGTGAAAAAAAACATTTGCCATCATAATTTTAAAGTCTTTTAAAATTTTTGAATTGTTAATCGTATTTAGTGATATAAGAAGATATAATATACCCTGGATAATTATTAAAATATTACAATCGATTTTTATATATTTAATTTCTTTTGTTTCTTCTTTTTTCGATTTTTTTGTTTTTTCTTTTTCTACAAAAATAAAGATTGATATTTGAATATAAATTCATTAAATGATAATGAAATGATATATACATTCTTACCATTGTTTGTTCAAATTGTACTTGATTGGGTACGTTTTGACTACCTCCTTGAAAAGCACTAAAATCTACGATTTTATAATCGAATTTTTTTGATGGCATCATGCCTTTTTTTTCCAAATCTTTAATTATACGTTCTCTTTCTCCTTTTTTTCTTGATCTATAAATAAATTTATTTTATTAATAATTCTTATCATATTAATTATTATTGATTAATAGTTCATATATTTATAGCTTATAAACATTATAAGATTACAATTTTAAAATAATAATTTTAAAATAATATAAAACAAAAGATCATCTACTATTTTAACAAAAATAGCTATTTTTATTATAATTTATAAAAATATTGAACTTTAATTAGTAATGTAATAATAACAATAATATATATAATGATAATATATAATAATAATAATAATAATAATAATAATAATAATAATAATAATAATAATAAATACTTACCGCAACAAATTCATGGTTTCATTATTTGGAATTTGTTTCTGTTTTTTTGTTACACTTTCTTGTGCATTTTGTTCTTCTTTCAAATGTTCAACTTCACTTATATCTTTTTTCAGATCTTGAATAATTCTGTTCTCTAATATCGGAACTGGAGTTGATAAATTATCATTAGTTTTTTTTTCCTGTACTTCATCTTGTTTATTAATATTTGAATCTCTTTTTCTTTTGCGTCCTGGCATTTGACTTAATGGAGTTTGAGATGGTTTTCTTGATAATTCTGATTCATTTTTTCCTGTTATCATTTGAGAAACTTGTTTAAAGTGTTCATAAACTCTGTTTTTGCTTTCTACAATTTCTGTTTCTTCCTTTTTTAGTTTATTCAAACGATTTTCTTCTTCTTGTTTTTGTTTCTCTCTCTCTTGTGCTTCTTGCTCTGCTATCATAGGTATAACTCGTTTATATCGTTCAAATGGACTTACAAAAACAAATTTTTTCTTTTTGCTTTCCTGCTCAGTTTTTCCAACTTCTTCATCCTGTAAATAAATAAATAATCATTGAAATTAAAATTATAATTATCAAAATTATATTTGATGTCATTTATTTTTAATTCTTGTATGAAAAATATATATAATTTAAATTATGTTGTATATTATTATATATAACCTCGGATGTTGCTGGACTGTCAAATACAGTCACTGTATGTTTTGTTGCAATATTTGAAATTGGTATTTCTAATACATTATTTTTATCTAACAAACATGGTAAATCTGCTCTTGCTTCCATATCACTAGGAATATCATGAGGGGAATACATCCATACATCTAAATTAGTATGATGATTCCTTTGTGTTAATCTTTGTCTAATATCTTCTTCAAGAATTGGTTTAATAAGTGGCTGTTCTCTAGCCTTCAATATTATTTTGTGGAGTTTTAATAAATTCTGTCTAACCAAAGGAGGAATAGAATCACAGCATGCTAAAATTCCTTGCATTTCACGAGGTAATGTTTCAGCTATGTTTAACAACATATGATTTGGTAATACATAAGCAATACTATCATCTTCTATCCTAGCTGTATCGTCCCTCCATTTATGCAATTCTCTTAAAGCATAAAGTTGTTTATTATTAAACATTTTCTGACTTTTTCTGTATATCGTCATACAATTTTCTTCTGTCCAAATTGGTTTAACATATGTCTTTTTACAAATCTCCGTACTTCTATCATATACAACTTTCAAAATATTAATTTGTCCATTAGCTACATCAATTAAAGCATTTTTTAACATATCCTTTATATACAATAAATAATGTGTATCTTCTCTAGCATATTTAATAAGTTTTTCTGGTAAAGGTCTTATGCGCCAATCAGCCATTTGAAAATGTTTATCAGGATCTACATTACAATAATGTTTCAATAAATATGCTAAACTTAAATATGGTAGATTAAGTTGTTTCGCCGCTTGATGTGTATCAAACATATTCACTACATATAAAGATAAATCTCTTTGAAGCCATTGTATGTCTAAATCTGCTCCATGAAAAACTTTTAATATTGTTGGTTTTGTAAAAATTTCATTTAACTCGTGTAATTCAGATCTCAATGACAAAGTATCTATCAAGTAATCTTTATCTTTTGTCGAAATTTGCATCAAACAAGTTATCCCTTGAAAACTTCTATAAGAATGATGTTCTAAATCTACAGCGATTTCCTTATATTGCTTTAAATCATTTATCAATAACTTAATATCCGATGGATCTTTAATCATTACTAATAATGTATCTTCCAAGTTCTTGTATTTTGTTGGTTCAGATTTTTTCAATTGATCATTGGGAGGAACAAACATATTCAGTTCATATTCATAAGGATGATTAAACACTTCACCATTTTCACTTTCTTCCAAATAAATAGCTAATGGTTTCAAAGAATTAGGTTTATCTTTAATCCTTGGACACCAAGGTTTTGAACTATTGTCAATTTTATCTTTGAACATTAGCTGTGGTCTTTGAATGTTTTTACCAGCTAATAAGCGTATAGATTGAACATTCTCTGAAATTTGCAATGGTTGACAAATTTGATTGTTCCATCCGCCATTGATCGGTTGACTCTTTAAATGTGAAACCACAACTTCTACTTCTGAATTTTTGGTAATACCACATTCTTTGTCCATTAAAGCATTCTATAATATGAAAAATATATATTTATAAAGAATAAAATTTATATATGAAAAATCTTAGATATAAATGTTTTAATAAAACATACAGCTCGATCCAATAGCACATCATTTGCTTCTAATAAAAGATCAAATTTTTCTTCAATGTCGCGATTTGAAATATTATTTTTTACACCAGTAATTCCCAATACATGTTGCACAACGTTTAATAATAATTTTATATTATCATCTTTATTTTTTCGAAAACTGGGAAAACACGAGTAATAATTGAAATTAGATCCCGTCGGTAAATTATTAGCATTTTTGATCCCAAGTTTCATAACATGGAATGCTTCCTAAAATAAAATATATTATATTTTAATTTATATGAGAAAGAATAAATTTAATGATTCAATAAGTTTAATCATACTTGAACGTAATCATGAAAACTTGCATATCCAGGTATGACTTGATTAATTTCTTTATTTTCGTTTTTTTGAGTTTCATTTTCTAGTATTTGGCAATTACCACTCCAGTCTTCTGTAGGATCCATACTGTTAATTATAAACTACTAATTATTTTTTCACTTTCGTTAAAAATTATTCGATAAAGTAATAAAATAATGTACAAAATTGCACAACATATTCCATTTTTCCATCCATAACCTCCAATTTTCACGATGTCCTTAACATACACACACTATGTCATAGATTAATCTAATCATGAATCAAGTATAGAAATTTACATTTTTTAAGAATCATAATAAATAATTTTGATAATTGTAATAAATACAAATTCCAATAATTTTTAATTAATTTAATATATTTATTATATATTATTTATATTATGTTATAGAATAAATATTGCATTTTATAAAAAAAAAAATTAAAAAGTTTAACATTTATGAATATAGTGTAAAATAAGTTCTATTATTTATTTTATTATATCATCAATATATTTAACACGAATAATACTTAATAAATAATAGATATATTAAATTTTATCTATAGCAAATATCTAAAATACATGGAAAAATGCAATTGCAATGAAACTAGGAAGATCATATGAAAGTATTCATATGAAAGTATTTTTTAAAATGCATACACTTGCAATATAGAAAATGACGTCGAATGATGGCGCTAGTATCACTATAATCTATCCATTCCCTGTTCTCAGCGATCAAGTCCAAAATTAGTAAATAAAGATGGTGGCAGCGCATGAACCGTGTGCGGTATCGTCACGCGAAAAATGTCTAGTAAAATGAAATGGAAACGAAGAACGTGTGCGATCTCTCAGAAAAATTCAAAAGTTGTAGAGACTTAGTGATCAAATTTACCGTAAAGACGATTATAACAGTGTAAATAGTGTATCTTTTCTATAGTTCCCCGGGAGCGGAAAGCAGCCGCAAAAGAGGATAATTTGGCTCCAGAGTTCACTGTAAGGTACAAATTCTCGCTATTTTTAGACTCTACCCGAGTGTCGATTCTCATTCAGAGCATTCGTTCGTTTCATC